AAAGCAACTTGGTTTCCTCAATTCTTTGCTAGCAATCACTATGGGATGTATGTAAATCAATCTGCATTGTGTAACACTGCAAATCATGTTTGAAATGTGTCTGAACATCCCGTGCTCCGCCCAACATCTGCCACTTTCCCTCACTAGTCTTTCTCCTCTATTCATCTCTATCTTATCTTAAATCAAAAGGAAATCTTAAAAGGTTTCATAGCATGAAAAAAAATGGCTAACATTAATTTAAATCAATAAATACCTACTGATCACCCACATATGTGTTTAGCATTGTGAAGGAGTAAAAGGATTGTCAGATACAGCCTCAGGAAAGTAATGTAACACAATCACAAATTTCTGTAATATTCAGTAAGATGTGATGAATCCCATAAAAATTAAGATTACTGTGAGAAATTAGTAACATAGATGAAAATTTCCAAAAGACAAGATGACTAAGATAAAGGCAGAAAGCATAATATGTGAAAACAATCACCAGGAAAACTCAGTTCAACATTTACTGAACACCTGTAAGAATGCACTGTGTGTATGAAGGAGTCATGTGCCACAGGAAGATGAATAAAGATCCCAATTCTCTTAGTCCAGAGGATGTTAAGTACTACAAGACGAATACACAGTGCCAGAATTCCTTCATTTAATTAAAGGGAATGATTACTAGGTACACAGTGCTACAGATATAAAGCAAGTTGGTATCAGCCACTGTAATATAACTGACATCAAAAGAGGTGGCATCTGTTGTGTTTTGTGGGTTGATAGGATTTTATCAGCATAAGTATAAGAGAAGATTGCTGAGATGTGACCTAAGCCAATTTGGCCGGAGAGCCACCTCTTAAATCAGTTCACACCACTGCTGTCACAGGAAATATCATGAACAGAATTTGGAGGACCATAGTCCTCCAATCTTCAACTGGAAAACAGAATTGAGTGAAGAAAATCAGGGGGAAAAACCAGAAGGGAGATTGAGATCTGAAGGAAGATCAGATGTAGAATCACTAGGACCGGAAATGCTTTCTTTCCCATAAAGGGCAAATATCACAAGGAAGACCTAGGATCCCAAGAGCTCACAAAGAAAAACACTTTGTTTCTTGAATTCAGAGGCCCAAATGGCACTGCTCAGAGGAGTGTATGTGCTGTACAATGGCCTGGTAATTTCTCTGGGATATGTAAAATAGAGTATCAGTAGACCAAGACCTGAGTTCAGGAACATGTTTATCCTCATCAAATCTGAAAGGACATGTAATCTACTTCAAAATCAGACAAATACATCAGTATTTTAGGTATAGCTTCTTTAGGCAGGTCAATGAGATCTATAAATATATATGTGGTTTATTTCATTTGAACCCCCACTGAAATCTGTATCTATTTAATCTGCATTTGGGGGCTGGGGATGTGGCTCAAGCCTGGCATGCATGCGGCCCGAGTTCGATCCTCAGCACCACATACAAACAGAGATGTTAAAAAAAATCTGCATTTGGGAAATCAGCACACCACTGCAGATATATGAGGACAAATTATGGTAACAAAAATCCAATTTCTTGATAGAGTCACTAGACAATCCACTTTCATCACTTAGAAAGTCACCAAGAGGGAAGGGGAAAAAAGGATCCAAAAAGAGAGGCGAAAATTCCCAATAACTTTTCTTATCAGTTTCTTTTATCTCCTTGGCCCTGTGATCTGCCTGTACTTCAGCAACTCTAAAAATAGCATTTATATCACACTTTAATAAGGACTAATGTATTTTAATCTATATTACTTCATTCAACAATTCAACCACTTTAGAGATAACACAGAAAGGAAATGACTCACATAAGGTCACTTAACACAGAGGAATCATTCATCATCTAATAATGGAGTATAGCTCATCCATTAATTGTGCAAAGGGAAAAGAGATCCCCTCACACCCATAAAGAAAGCAGGTTTAAGGCTAGAGATATAGCTTGGTTGGAAGAGTGCTTGCCTCCCATGCACAAAGCCCTGGGTTCAATCCTCAGCACCCCAGGAAAAAAGAAAACAAAGAAAAAAGCAGGATTAGTTTCTAGACTTTTTACATCAATTTTCTTGATGTAAAAGACTAACCATTTTTCTCTCCCAATCAGCAGTTCTTGTGAGTGCTTTCTACTGATGAGTGACTGAACATCAAATCCTATTCCTAACTCATGAGTTAATAAATACATGATACATAATGCACAGTCTGCATTCTTTCCAGCAAAGCCTACCAGGAATTTTCTATATTTCCAAAATGGATTACCACTCTTCTATTTCACTCATAATACAGCTGACAGTACCAAAGTTGGAAATTTGAAAAACAGGCCTACAAAATAGGTAAAGCACTGGGCCAATATAAGGTCATGAAAGTCATGTGGTGGTTATATTATTCACTACCAGCAACTGAAAATTTAGTAGAGACTATAAGCTTTTGATTGAGACAACTAAAGCCTGACTCCTATGCCAAAGGTTACGGGGAGAAGCATCTTTACTGTACCTAGGCCTCAAGAAGGAATAATCACAAGAGGGTAGATGAAATCTGGAGATTTAATTATTCTACTATATATATGTATATGTGTGTACATACATATATATTTTTTGGGGGGGAGGGGGAGTGCTAGAATTGAACTGAAGGACTTTTTTTTTTTTTTTTTTTTTGATGCTGGGGATTGAACCCAGGTCCTTGTGCATGCGAGGCAAGCACTCTACCAACTGAGCTATATCCCCAGCCCTGAACTCACGGACTCCTAAATGCATTCTACCACTAATCTATGTCCCCACCCTCAACCATAACCATAACTAGCTTTATTTTCTACTAATCCAGTAATAAATGATCAGTGGTAGAGTGCTTGCCTAGCATGTGAGAGGCCTGGGGTTGGATCACCAGGCCTGGGTTCCATCCTCAGCACTTAAAAAAAAAAAAAAAGTAAAATCTTCTCAAAAGTGCAAAAAAGAAAAATCAACAAAGAAAGTAGAGGGATGAGATTAAGAAATGGAGAAGTAGAAACGTGTTCCTCTTTTTAATATAGCACGTCCTAGAACATCACATGAAAATGATCTTGTTAACCACTGAATACTATAATTACAAATTTTTGGCTAATAAAATTATTCTGAAACTATCTAATAAAAATCTAAAATAAATTTCATGCTCTGGGCTCCCAAAATACCATCAGTTTAACCATTCCCCTTCTTCAATCATGCTATATTAAAACCAATATAAAAATTTTTTTTAAATCTACTTCTGAAAATTGTAATTTAAATGTAGTGAACTTTATATACAAACAGATATGAAAAATTGTGGTATATATGTGTATTAAGAATTGTAATATGGGCTGAGGTGGTGGCTCAGAGGTAGAGTGCTCCACGAGCATGTGCAAGGCCCTGGGTTCGATCCTCAGCACCACATAAAAATAAAAATAAAGGTATTTGTCCAACTACAACAACAAAAAAAAATTTAAAAAAGAATTGTAATGCAAAAAAAACAAAGTACAAATGTAAAAACGCAAAAATTGACGTGAACTTACTTTATATACAGAGATACGAAAAATTGTACTCTATGTGTAATAAGAATTGTAATGCATTCCACTGCTGTCATGTATTTAAAAAAATAATAAAATCAATAAAAAAAGAAGATAACCATTAAAGGGAAAAAAAATGTAGTGAATACTAAAGCCACATGCAATTGGACTGTAAGGCATTATCATTCTGCATTTGATCCTGGATTTACTCAATCAGTGGGTTAAGCACCTGTGTCATCTATTACACTAACATAAACACATACATGTTTATGAGAAGGGTCATCCAAGTCTCTTATCTAATATCCTTTTCAGGAACTAACAAAACACTTAAATGAAAAGATATTTTTAAATTGATAGTAACTATGAAACTCTTTTGTTAAATTTTATAAGAATCTTAATTTAAATCCTTGTTTACAATATGCTTAGATGGTTGAAATCTCTTTTCAGTCCAGAAACAATTACTATCATATAAAATCAAAACTTTTTTTTTTTGGGGGGGGGTTGCTAGGGATTGAACCCAGGGCCTTATGCATACTAAGCACATGCTCCACCACTGAGCTGCTCCCTCAGTCCTGAAATCAAAACTTTTTAAAGTTTATAAGCATAGAAAGTCAGCAAATTTATTTTTTTATTGTTGTTGTTGTTGTAGTTGGACACAATATCTTTTTTATATAGTGCTGAGGAACCAATTCAGGGCCATGCACTTGCTAGGCAAGTGCTCTACCATTGAACCACAACTCCAGCCTGGAAAGTCAGCAAATTTAAAAACCAGTTTTAAAATGTAAAGACTCCCCCCCCCCCAAACCATATACTCAAAGGTACTGACATGGGTTACATTGTATTCATTCTAATTCTTTTGAAAAGAGACATTTTAGTTATTTTTTTTTATTGAATGGAAACAGAAGGAGTGCAGAACAGCACTCAGAGGTACTAAGTTACAGCTTTCCAATATGAAAAACTCCTCCTGTTTAAAGAGCACATATTCTACATCCTTAAAAATGTGTTCGTCACTCCAATTAAGATATTTTGCCAAAATAATCCACTGCAAAAGGTGCCAAATATCAAACTGTTGACCAGTTTGATAAATTATGCTGAAAAGGAAAAGTTACTCAATTAATGAAGATCAAATAAAAACCCACAGGTGACATTATCCCTTTGAAAACAGTCACATCTACATGCGGGTGTGCATAAATCAGATACTACCAAAGGTTTTCCCCTCTAGTTTTCAAGAATGCTGGATTAGTCTAGTTCTGTGAATTATGCAAATAATAGCAAATATTAAACTCCCTCTGTATTTATGCTACTGTACTTCCATTTTTAAAACATGCATCTCAAATCCCCAGATACCATCATCCACAAAAACCATGCAACTATCCAACAGACTTTCAGTGTCACCATTTATTATTTATAGCATTAAATGGGGGAAGTGGCTCTGATGTCACCAACCCTACCCATGGAATCACTGACTCAAACATTTTCATGCAGGAGAAGACTGGCTAGGAAAACATTTTGCTAGGTTAAGTAGATTCTTTCACCTTTCCTTTCAACCCTGGGGTAGAAATTGTTACAGTGTTAGCAGAGATACAAAGAAACTGTCAAGGTTTCCACAGGAAGAAACCCTGCGCAAGTCCACTCGCTGAGGGAAAGACTTCCTCCCCACTCTTCAGAGCCCGTTTGATTTCCCTAATGTTCAAATTGCCAGGTAATACCTGCCATATTTTCCTTCTTCCACTATATCACCTACTAATTAGCAAATTCCTCACTTTTACTAGCCACTGTGTGTTGTGTTTCTAAAAACCCTTTTTGGCTCCAAGTCAGTCCTAAGGCAAAAAAAAAAAAAAAAAAAAAAAATTAGGGGTGTCACTGGACCAGGGAGACTAGCATGGCTACTAACAGTTTCTAACAGAAAAGGGATCGCTTCCCCAGGGGCCAAGGACTCCCCTCCCCCCTTTTAAGAAGAAAGCCCGGGTGGCAGCTGAGTACGCCCCCCACCCGGGTTCCCTAAACTGCTCGGAAAACGTAAAGTTGCGGTTTCCCTTTCCTGGGGGATGGAATCCGGAGCACCTGGGGCCTCGCTAGGCGAACACCCCACGGCCGCTGGGAAGCCCTTTGTCCGAGCAGCCCGACACCGCAGGGGCCCGGAGGGAGGCCCCTCTCTGCCACAGCCCCGGGCCGGGCCGCCCACCCCCGGCCCCGCGGGGCCTACCTCGGCATCCGCACGGCCGCGGGCCAGGGCAGTGGTGCCGGGAGCCCCGCCAGGACGGCGGGCCCGAGGGCCTGGACCTCTCCTCCGCACCCCTCCCACCATCTCCCGTGGCCTGGCGGGGCTCGGAGAGTGGTGCGGGCCGGGCCGGGGACACGCGGCATATCCCCTCCGCACAGGGAGAAGGCGAGGCCAGCGCGCTTACGCCCGCGGCCACTGGGAGCGAGCAAGGCCGCCGTGGCCTGGCACGGGCCGGGCCGGGAGGGGGCGAGCCGTGGGCACCGAGGGGGCCGGGCCGGCCGCGAGCTCCGGGGCGCGGGAGGCCTGCGCCGAACCCGGGCGCGGGGAGGCGGGGGCGCCGCCTGGGCCGCGGCGGCGGGGCCGGGCCGGGCTCTCGCCGGACGTTGGATGGGCAGGCCCGCCCGGGGCCGGACGGAAGAGCGGACGGTCCCGCGGGCCGCACTCACCATGAGCTCGATGGTCTTGTCCTCAATCACCGAGTCGGGCTCCATGGCGGCCCCGGCGGCCCCGCCTCGCTCTCCCCGCGCAGCAGCGAACGGCCCGGGCGGAGGAGGCGGCGGCGGAGGCGGCGATCGCACCCACTCTAGCTGCCAGCCCGCCCGGGCCGCCGGCAGCTCCGCCCTCCCCTCGGCGGACGCAGCACGCAGAGCGAAGACTACGGCTCCCAGCAGGCGCCGCGGGCGCGGGCGCGGGGCGCTGAGGGGGCGTAGCCCGSCCCGGGCCTCTCCCCGGGGCCCGAGGCCGCCTTCTTCCGAAAGCTGCGCCGAGCCGCGAGCGCGTGTCGGGAGCACCAGGAGTACCGTGGGCCGGCTCGGAATAGGCCGCGGCGCGCCGCCACTACATGTCCCAGGAGGCGCCGCGCGCTGCTCTGCTTCCGGCCGGGCTCTGCCGACTTCCTGCCGGCTGGGGCTGCCTGCACCGGGACGGAAACCCGGAGACCGCTCCTCGCTCGTCAGAGACCCTGTGTGCGCCCGGCTTCCGCACATGCGCGATGGCCGCCTGCGACCCCCTGCGTCCCCCGGCGTCCCTCTGCGTCCGGTGGCCGCAAGGCTGGCGCTATTCTGGTGGAGGGGTGAATGATGGAACGGTGGATGCTAGGTGCCCGCAAAGGTGGAGGCCAAGGGCTCAGGCGTGGCAGGCGGGCCCGAGCGCGAGGAGCTCCGCCGGGGCTCGCAAAGGACGGGCGTGGCGCGAATGGGGAGAGGGGAGAGGCGGCCGGCGCTGCGCTGTGCCGTGCCCCGCGAACTGGCCGGCGCTGAGAGGACAGGTTATCTGCAGGCGGAGTCCTCTTACTTCTTCGCTCTGAAAGCACTTTTTTAAGCCCCCATGCTCTGCTAGGCACTGCGCTAAGCCCTGGGGATCGGCTCTACCCGACAGACAGGCCCCTGCCTTCGGGGGACTCAGGTGGGGGGACGCAGACGTTAACCACAGCAATCGGCGGCCCGCGGGCACACTGCAGGAGACGCCTTCTAGTGACCTCTGCCTCCCGCCGCCCCGGGGATGCCCGTGTCCTCCCCTGCCCTGAGAGCAAGCCGGCGGCGAGTGAGCTGGGTTGGGTACTAGTCGCCTTGAGCCCCAACACGCCACGAGGCACCTCGGGGCGCCCCAGCGAGGGCTTGGTTCTGGAGTAGATGCCGGCAGGGAGGGGGGGTAATTCGATGATCGGACAACTGTATACATCTTACCTGCCAGAAGAGGATACTAAACTGACGCTAAAGCTGTAATTGGTAAAGAAGTTAAGCCCCTGGAATTAGCCTGTTGGAGGTATTTAGTCATCTTTTGTGGTTTGGAAAATGTTCAGGTTTTGTCTGTGTTCACACATGATTTTGAAGTAGTCTTGCTTTTGTCTTGATCTTTCATGATTACAGAGTGGCCTTATCTGAGGTTGATGTTCCGTGAAATTGTTTATGTTCTAAGGAGAACACAAGGCCTCTCTGTAAGGGCTAGGCTATTGTCTAGTACCATTACAACCCAACCCATTTACCAGGCCAGCTCCCAATGTCAGAGACATTTGCTTTCCTGTTTATCAAGCGTTTCTAGATGACCTAGAAATCTTTGCCTTTTTAAGGACAGAGCTATTACAGTAATTTGTATACACTCAGGATGCAGTATAAGTTCCCTGCAGGTAGAATTTGACATTTCATAATCTTTGGTGCTTTTCACCAAGAGAATTGAAAGAAAAGCAATAGGAAGAAAGAGCCCAGAATTGGAAGGTTATTGCCATTAACTTGCTGTATGAATTTCATGAAGCAATTTTCCCTCTCTGGACCTTGGGACATTAAGTAGTAAAACAAGGAGGTTGAGATAAATGGTCTTCGTTTCAGTTACTTATTGCAATATAACAAACTGCCCCAAGACTCAGTAGCTTAGGTGCATTGGTCGATTTTTTACAATTGTGTGGGCCCACATGGCAAAAACTGAGGTTACACATGGGCTTCAGTCAGCTGGAATCTCCTTCAAAATGACTTCTCATCCTCTTGTGCCTCTCTTTTCCACAAGGTTTCTTATCACTCAAGCTTCAGCATGGTGGTTAGGAAGAGGACAAGCCCCAATGAACAAATGCTTGTCAAGCCTCTGGTTGTACCACACTTGCTAATGCCCCATTGGCCAAAGCAAATCATGAGACCAAGTCCACAGTCAGTGTGGAAAGGTTCTCCACAGGGACTTGAGTGCAGAGAGGCTTGGTTCATTGGGCTCCACCAATGGAACAGCCAACCCAAACCGCAAAGGTCCCAGCACCTGCCACAGGACATAGCACAGCAGGGACAGGCAGGAGTCCTGTGCTGAATACGAGCACCCTCTCCATGTGTATGTTTATCTTAAACCATCTTATTTTAAAATTTGACAGTTTCATATTTTAAAATCTGCATTTCCAGCTTTTCTTTCAAAGTTAGAATATCTGACTATTGGTTTTTTCTTTCAGTGCAAGGGATTGCACCCAGGGCCTTGCATATGCTGGCAAGCGCTCCACCACTGAGCCACACCCCAGTCCTGCCACTGTCTTCTTTTTTTTTTTTTTTTTTTTAAAGAGAGAGTGAGAGGAGAGAGAGAGAATTTTTTTAATATTTATATTTTAGTTCTCGGCGGACACAACATCTTTGTTGGTATGTGGTGCTGAGGATCGAACCCGGGCCGCACGCATGCCAGGCGAGCGTGCTACCGCTGAGCCACATCTCCAGCCCCTGCCACTGTCTTCTTTACGTCAAGTCTGTCCTCCGTGGTTTCCCATGTTGTCACCACTCTGTTATTATTCTGTATCATAGTCTTTTTTCTGCTGCTGTAACAATACCTGAGACTAAGAGGTGTGTTTAGTTCATGGTTCTGAAGTCCATGAACTAAACACATGGCACTGGCATCTGCTTGGCATCTGATGAAGGCCTTTCCCTAGGTCATGACATGACAGAGGGTGTCACATGGAAAGCCACTCCCTTGTACCCCATATCTCAATCCATCCATGAGGGCACAGCCCTCATGACCATGTCACTCCTAACAGTCCAACCTGGTCCCACCTCTTAACACCATGCAATGGGGATTAAATTTCAACTTGAATTTTGGTGGGGACATTTAAATCCTAGCTATCCGTATGTTTCTCTTACTTTAATTTTGTACCAAATCAATATAGATATTTGTGTTTGCCATCCTGTCATTAGAACTGTAATAGAGATTGACTCAAGGTTTCTGTTCTTTTATTAAAATCATACCCCCCACACACATTAAAAAGAAAAATAATACTAATATTATTGGATCCAATTCCCAAAGCTCAGTGGGATTAAAAAGTCATGTTAATGACAGCAGTCTACACAAGCCAAGCCCAGCCAATCTCCTCACCCTCACCTCTTCTGAACAAAAACTCAGATATTCTTAGTGCCTCAGGCATGATACCAGCTGGCGATGGGTTTGGTACTGGAGAAAAGGCAGAAGACCCAGAAGCACATTTCCCCTGATATTTGAGGTAGCTTTGCTCCAGGGTCCACAAAACCTGCTAACAGATCAGGGTTCAAGTCCATGTCCCTGAACCAAAACCCTGAGATCCAGATGCTCAGGATTCAAAATTATTTGTACAACTTGGATTGTACAAAGCCAGAATGATGTGTATACACTGTGTCTAAGGTGACACTCCCAGGGACAAAGACAACACTCCAGAATCAAATACATGAATTGTTTGGCAGCAGCTAGTGTGTGCTCCTATTAGCTATTCACAAAATCTCAGCTCCAAGTGCACCTTTCCTGCCACACTTTGAGATTGGGAGCAGGACCCCATGAGTATTTCTCCTCTGCCAGCCAGCACTGTGGTTCACTGTCAGTAGAGAGCAGTGGAGGAACACAACAGAATGGAGGGGGCTTCTGGTCCTGATTATGGTACTTTCTTTTCCTTCTTGCTTTTTTGGCTCATGGACGCAGACCACTTACAGAACTGTGCCTCTCACATGCGTACACTCACATGTGTGAGCACTTTCTCTCTCTCTCTCTCTCTCTCTCTCTCACACACACACACACACACACACACACACACACACACACGACTGGGACATTCAAAATGAGCTTTCCAGCAAGTTCCCTGACATCTCAATAGGCTGTTTCCTGCCTGCAGCACCTCAGCAAACTTCAACATGTAGTGGGCCACACCACCCTCTTCCATCAAGGTCAAGTAAGATTGAGAGAGGTCCATGTGGAAAGGAACTGGAACCATCTGCCAACAGCCAGCACTAACTTGCCAGACCTGCTAATGAGCCAGCTCCCCTGCCCCAGTCGAGCCTTCAGATGACTGCAGCCCCCTCAACACTGTGTCAATAAGATTTCCATTACTACAGACAAATGCCTAGGGTATAAATTTACAATAAGAAAAAGGTTATCTCGGCTCACAGTTTTGGAGGTTTGAGTCCATGGTTGGTTGGTCCCGTTGCTTTGGGGCCTGTGGTAAGGCAGTACATCATGGTGGTTGGCACTTGGTAAAGCAAGCTGCTCACCTCATGGCAGCTGAAGAGAGGACCAGGGTTCCACAGTTCCCTTCAAGGACATGCACCCATTGATCTAAGATTTCCCATGAAGCCCCACCACAAAGATTCTCCCACCTCCCAGTAGCTAGGTTCCTTCAAAACATAGGCCTTTGGGGACATTCCAGATTCCAATTATAGCAACACTCTTGACTTCTGAGAGGCCCTGAGCCAGAACTTCCAGCCATTCTTGCACTCCTGACCCATAGAGATATGCCAGATAACGAGATAACATTTGTTATTTTAAGCTGTATTGGGACAAGCATTATCCAGCAATAGACAACTAATAGAGCATTTAAAAAATAACTAGTTCTTCAAAATATGGGACTTGATGCTATCTCTTCTAATCAAAGCATCATGAACGGGCTGGGGATACGGCGCAAGCAGTAACACGCTCGCCTGGCATGCGTGCGGCCTGGGTTCGATCCTCAGCACCACATACAAACAAAGATGTTATGTCTGCCGAAAACTAAAAAATAAATATTAAAAAATTCTCTCTCTTTAAAAAAAAAAAGTATCATGAACCTTGGCAGGGTTCTGTTTATTCCTTCTTTATGAATACTGTTAAAGACATTGAGAAGGACATTTAAAAAATGTATATATGCTGGGCATAGTGAGACATGCCTGTAATCTCAGCGGTTCAGGAGGCTGAGGCAGGAGGATCACGAGTTCAAAGCCAGCCTCAGCAAAAGCAAGGTGCTAAGCAACTGAGTGAGACCCTTGTCTCTAAATAAA